TTGTTGTTCAAGTACAGTTTTCTGCCTTTTACCCCCAGCCCTCCCACCTCCCTCCTGTTTCCACCCCTCCCTTAGTTGTTGTCCATGTGTCCTTTATACTGGTTCCTGTAAATCCTTCCCCTTTTCCCCTGATATTCCCTCCTGTCTCCCCTCTGGTCACTGTCAGCCTGTTCTGTATTTCAGTGTCTTTGGTTATATTTTGCTTGTTTGTTTGTTTTGTTGATTAGGTTCTTGTTAAAGGTGAGATCATATGGTATTTGTCTTTCACCGCCTGACTTATTTTGATTAGTATAATGCTTTCCAGTTCCATCCATGCTGTGGCAAAGGGTAGGAGCATTGATAGCTATTCTGGCAGGTGTGAGGTGATAGCTCATTGTGGTTCTAATTTGCATTTCTCTGATGGCTAGTGATGTTGAGCATTTTCTCATATGTGTAGGCCATCTGCAGGTTTTTTGCCCATTTTTTAATTGGGTTGTTGGTCTTCCTGGCGTTGGGTTGTATGAGTTCTTTATATATTTTGGAGATTAAACCTTTGTCTGATGAGTCATTGGCAAATGTTTTCCTGTACAGTCAGTTCCATTTTTATTTTGTTGATGTTTTCTTTAGCTATGCAGAAGCTTTTTAATTTGATGTAGTCCCATTTGTTTATTTTCTCCTTTACTTCCCTTACCCTAGGAGATACGTTGGTGAAGATATTGCTGTGCAGGATATCTGAAATTTACTAAGTGTGTTTTCTGCTAGGACATTTTGGTATCATGAGTTATATTTAAGTCTTTTATCCATTTTGAGTTTATTCTGGTCTGAGTTAGTTGTCTAGTTTCATTTTTTTTATGTGTACCAGTTCAGTTCTCCCAACACCATTTATTGAAGAGATTATTTTTACTCCATTGTATGCTCATGCCCCCTTTGTTGAATATTAATTGACCGTAGAGACATGGGTTTATTTCTGGACTGTCTGTTCTTTTCCATTGATCTATGCCTGTTTTTATGCCAATATCAGATTGTCTAGATTACAGTGGCCTTGTGGTATAGTTTAACATCAGATATTGTTATCCCTTCAACTAGGTTCTTTCTCAGGATTGCTGAGGCTCTTTGAAATTTTTTTATAGTTCCATATAAATTTTTGGAATATTTGTTCTAGATCTGTGAAGTATGCCATTGGTATTTTAATAGGAATTGCATCGAATCTATAGATTGCTTTCAGTAGAATGCACATTTTAATGATGTTAATTCTTCCAATCCATGAACACAGTGTATGCCTCCATTTATTTGTATCTTTCTCAATTTCTTTCTTCAATGTTCTTTAGTTTTTGGAGTACAGGTCTTTTTGCATCCTCGGTTAAATTTACTCCTAGGTACTTTATTTTTCTCGTTGGTGTAGTAAATGGCATTTTTTCATAGCTTTCCTTTCTGATAGTTCTGTTGGTATACAAAAATACCATCAATTTCTGAATATTGACTTTGTATCCTGCTACTTTGCCAAAATCATTTACTAGGTCAAGTGACTTTTTGATGGAGACTATAAGGTTTTTCTATTTATTCTATCATGTCATCTGCGAATAATGAATTTTAACTTACTCCTTTCCAATTTGGATGCCTTTTATTTCTTTTTCTCCTTTCTTCTTCTTCTTCGGCTAGAACTTCTAGTACTGTGTTGAATAAGAGTGGTGAAAGTGGACACCCTTGTCTTGTTCCTTTTAGTTTTTGCCCATTGATGTTGGCAGTAAGTTTCTCATATATGGCCTTTATGTTGAGGTATGCTCTCTCTTATTTCAGCTTTGCTGAAATAAGTGTTTTTATCCTGAATGGGTGATGGATTTTATCAAATGCTTTTCCTGCATCTGTTGATATGATCATGTGTTTTTTGTACTTCATTTTATTTATGTGGTGTATTATGTTTGTTGATTTGTGAATATTGTACCATCCTTGCATCCCTGGGATGAATCCCACTTGATCATGGTATATGATCTGGTTACTCAAAAGACTTAGCATAGTCTAACTATGCAACCCAGCAGCAGCTCCATTCTTGGGTATATGCCCAAGAGAAATGAATACATGTGTATGTAAAACTGGTACACAACTGTTCATAATAACATTATTCATAATAGTCAAAAGCAGAAACAACCCAAATTGCTATAACCTGGTGATTGGGTGCTATATATCCATACAATGGAATATTATTTGGCAATAAAAAGGAATTAAGTGTTGGTACATGCTATATCATACATGAACCTTGAACATATTATGCTACCTGGAATAAGCCAGTCACAAAAGACCACATATGTTCCATTTATATGAAATGTAACAGAATACGCACACCTAGAGAGAGTAAATCAGCAATTGCCTAGAGCTGGAACAGGATACGGGGAGGAAATGGGAGTGACTGCTTGCTGGTGGGTTCAGATTTGCCTTTTGGGTCATGAAAATTTTCTAGGAGTGATTGTGGTGATAAGTGTACAACTCTGTGACTATACTAAAAATCATTCAATTGTACACTTAAAATAGATGAATTATATGTGAATTATATCTCAATACAGCCAGTATATATATTTAAAATGTTTTCTGTGGTATCTATCCTTATTAGGAGGTAATTTAGTGTTCTGGAGAAAGAATATCTGAGATCAAATTTTGGTCCTATCACTCCTGGCGTGACTTCTAAGTTTTAGTTTCTTTATTTGTAGAGTGGTTATGGTAATATCGGGGTTGTAGTTAGGATAAAATGAGATTGTGCACATGTAGCAGTTAGCAAAGGGCCTGGTGCTGAAAAAATACTTGGCTTATTTTTGTTATTAGTATTTAAATTCTAGTTGTTATGTGTGGCATTACTTAAAATTCTGTAGACTATAATACATCTAATGGGTCATCAGAAAATGATTTTATCTTTCAAAATACAATTTCTTCTAATATTTGTGGTAAAATTTCTCTTTTTTTAGGGCAGGTTTATGTGGCAAATCATTAGCATTATCTTGTGGTCAAAGGATCAAGCCCTCCTCACTTGGCAAACGCGAACCCATACCCTCCAAAAATTGGAAAAGAACATACTTCTCTTTGTTAAAATGCACCCTAATCGATATACGGTATATCTGCATTTGAACAGAAATATTGCCCAATATAACTACATGAGTTTAGTTATATTTGGAAAGGTATTCTAAAATTAATTTGCTTACAGTGTAGTAAGTTTTCTTGCAGGTCTTCATACAGAGATAAATGCAGAAGATGAATGGCAAATTTAGTTTTAACCCTTGCACAGAGATATCCTTCAGTTTAGTGTTCAGTTTTGCTTGTGTTTGAACTTTATAAAAATGGAATTATGCTATGTACTTTCTCTGTGACTTGTTTTATGCAGTACTTTTTCAGATTCATATTGATGGGTTCAACTATAGTTGACTTTCAATGCTGCATATTATTCTGTTGTATCATTTTAATATAATTCATCCATTGTTTTGATGCACTTTCGGGTAGTTTATCTCTGCCAAAACATGCCAAGAGGAAATTCTGTTGATTTTTATTCATTGGATTTTTTATTTATGGATTTTTATACATTGATAATTAATTCACTTACCAAAGAAATATTCTTTATAACCTATAAAACTGAGGATGATCCAAATGCCCACAAAACAATCTAGAGTTCACTCATTCTCTGAATTTGTATAGCACTTAACAATTTCTTTTTAACTAGCTTGCTTTTACCTTTATATTTTGCCATAAACATACCATTAAAACCTTGTATTATTAAAAGTTCTCTACTTCATCTTTCTTTTAACATGGAAAAATCTGTTCTTTTAAAAGATTTGAAACCCCCCCCTTTTTTTTTAGCATACTTGGAGTAAACTTAGAGTGACAAGTTTAAAATGTAAGGATATTGGATAGTTTAAAAAACAGGCAGTTTTTGTATTCTCAGGCTGCAAAATGTGTAAAATTTGGAAATACCATGTAGTGAGACCAAACTGCTCAACTAGAAAAATAAAGAAAAGCCTGCTTTAAAGTTCTGTCCTGTACTGCTGCATTAGTTGACTATCGGAAGTAAATTGCAGTGGGATATTTTGAGGAGTGAAACTAGCTCAGGCTTATTTTGGAGGTTCTGATATACCAGAAAGGAATAAGAGGAATAACATGAAATATAACTATTTTAAAGAAATTGAATTGAAAAATATTTAAAATTTATTATGATCAAGTGTCAGTTCTTACCGTCATACTGAAGTCACAATGCATTAATCTTATATGTGATTCCTACAAGTGCTCCATAAATACTACTTTAACTATGGAATGTCTTATTTTGAAAGTTTATCTTTTTTATGTATTTGTGGAAAATATATACTTATGTCATTGAGAAAACAGCTTTCATTTGGGTGTTGTGTAATTCAGTAGAATTACTTATTCTTAATTTAGCACATACTGTGCAACATTATTTTGTAACATTTTGCCCTTTTAGGTATTTTTGCAAAGTTTATCATTTGAATTTTAATAAATGAAAGTATATTTTCTCACTAGTTTACTGTAAGCCATTGCTTTATTAACACTGTTGCTGATATTTTCCTTTTAGCTCAGCTGTTTGTTTTAAGCCCCTTTCCTAACTTTGTGGTAGGTTAATGATATATACATACAATCATTTAGTTATGTTTACCTTATGTGTCTCTATACAGATACATAGGTTATATGTGTATATATTTTTCTGAGCCATTTGAGGATTACAGGTATTGTGACATTTTGCTTTTCATTATTCAAGTATATTTCAAAAAGGAGGACACATTCTTATATAAGCCCCATGCAAAAATGATATATTCCTTTAAACATCCCCTGTGGTACTACTTTAAGGTCTGTTGCGATGTTACTTTTTTATAATAGTATTAAATTCTATTAATAAGTAAATTATTTTCTAATTAATTTTGTTTTGAAAACTGTTATCTATAAATTACTGAAAATTTACTATTGCACCTAAAATTATCCTTACTGTACTTTTAAAGTAACATTTTAATATGTTAAATACTTTTCTTTTTTAGGTATGGCTGATGGCAAGCATTGTACTTTTCCACATCTGCCTGGCAAAACCTTTGTCTATAATGCTTCTGAAGATAGATTGGAGTTGTGTGTGGATGCTGCGGGACATTTCCCCATCGGTCCTGATGTTGAAGACTTAGTTAAAGAGGCTGTAAGTCAGGTTCGAGCAGAGGCTACTACAAGAAGTAGGGAATCAAGTCCTTCACATGGACTATTGAAACTAGGTAGTGGTGGAGTAGTGAAAAAGAAATCTGAGCAACTTCATAATGTAACTGCCTTTCAGGGAAAAGGGCATTCTCTGGGAACTGCATCCAGTAACCCACAACTTGATCCAAGAGCTAGGGAAACTCCAGTTGTAAGGAAGCATAACACAGGGACAGACTTTAGTAGTAGTTCCATTAAGACAGAGCCTTCTGTATTCACAGCTGCTCCTAGTAACAATGAGCTTATTCGAATAGCTCCTGGAGTAGCAACAATGAGAGACAGCAGGCAGCTTGATCCTGATTTGATTGAGGCCCAGCGAAAAAAATTGCAGGAAATGGTTTCTTCTATTCAGGCTTCAATGGACAAGCACTTGAGGGATCAAAGTACAGAGCAGTCACCATCTGATCTTCCTCAAAGGAAAGAAGCTATGAGTTCATCTGTGAAGTCTGGGGGTCTTCAGACCGGCTTACCTGAATCTTTTTCTTTAACTGGTGGCACTGAAAATTTGAATACAGAAACAACTGATAGCTGTGTGTCCGAGGCACTGGGAGCAGCATTTGCCACAAGGTCAAAAGCACAAAAAGGAAATTCCGAAGAGGAACCTGAAGAGATGGATAGTCAAGATGCTGAGATGACAAACACAACTGAGCCAATGGATCACTCTTGATTTTATTAGAGGCTAATAAAACAGAATGTTTATTGTGAATATGTAATATTTGTTGGCTGGGCCACATAATTTGATTAGTCATTAAATATCTTGTACGTATATAATACAAAGATTATATCTTGTTATTCAGTGCATGATACAAGTGTGTGTTTGGCAATAGCTTTTAATATACTGCTGCCCAGGCTGGCTCTGAATTCCTAAAAATTAGTTATTAGATCTGCTGAGATGAGTTTCTTCCATATATGTGGTTCCATTGGAAGTTCTTTGTAATTTTAATTCCATAAAAGTCTTAATGTTTCAAACATAAAAATTTTCTTGTGAAATACGTTTGATTTCTGAAAAGGTCAGGACTGGGAGGGAATGAGATTTTGCTACTATTGATGTCATCAAGATAACCATACCACTTACTAGAATGTCAAAGATTTATGTAAAGTTGAAGGTTATCCGAACTAAATTGTATCTTAAAATGCATAAAAGGATTTTATTAAACACTGGGATCCTGACATTTCCGTGAATGTAAACATTCATAGAGATATGCATTCTTCATGAAAATATCTTGAGAATAGAGTGTAATGATAAAACATTTTGCTGCTTTGAGCAAAGGATGGGGAAAATATCTGTTCTAGAATGATAAAGTCAGTGTGATTCAGTAATGTTGTTGTCTGAGCCAACACAGCCAGTTGTGTGCTCTATTGTTGAAAATATGTTACCATTATTTTTTGAATCCTGGCCTGGTCACGTACCACCAAATTTTTTTTTTTATCTTGCAGAAGAGTTGGTTGCAGAGTTTGATAGAAAATACAAAAATAATGGTAGCAGTAGTTAATCTCTACTTTTCAGAGTTTGTCAGGTTCACAATTTATAAATAAGAATTTGTCTTTATGAATGAGTTACATTGTTCTACGATTTTGATCAGTGGTATTTAAGCTTATATATGCTATGTGTCTTTGATCCCCTTTGAACCAGTTTTCCTTTTTTTCTTCTGAGTCCATAAGGTTTTCTTTATTTGTTGGCTTCACTTGGATTTGGATGCAAATTTTACTGCATCATACCCTGATCAACTGGGCATTTGCTTAAATAGTGTATTCATCAGATCTTTAGTGCCAGTTTCCTCAAGAAGCAGTGTTCAAGCTTATTTCTTAAAGACAGAGAATGTTTATCCTGAGACTGGTATTGCACTATTTTATCCTATTTTGCAAATTTGTATTCTGAAATGTACATTTCAATCCATCTTTTTCCTATGTTCACTGAAATTAAGTTGAACTTGAATGAATGAAAGACAAAATATCTGTTAATACAATCTCTTATCTAGAGCATTCAAAGCCTGGCTGTCTCTGTTTGCACATGTAACAGATGCAGAACTGTGTTCGCATTCTAAGAAAATGTACATCAGAAAGTATATTATCAGGTGTTTAAAAATCTTAACCTGGTGATTCATAAGGTACATAGACAGTGCTTTAATTTGTGTTTTCAAATAAGAGAGGTTTTGGTTTCCTTTCTATGAAAGTATCTCTAACTGAATCCACTTACTAAATGAACTAGTTCATTTTTGAATAGGGAAAGAATGGAGAATCTAGACATTTGCAGGTGATATCTGAGCAAGATAATATATTTGGGTTTTATTACATTCTCACATTTTAAAATTCCATTTTACATTTTGTATCCAGTCTTCTAAATTTCAAGTACCCTTATATCTAAATAGCAGGAAAATGTAGAACTTTAATACTGTGCACTAGTTTTGCATAAAGGACTGCAGCTACCCAGCTAACAAATATTTCCCATTTAGTTAGTATAGGTGACTTATGTGATTTAAACTAAAAATTATAAATATCACTAACCACTATAGTTATTTTTGGCTTTTCAGCCACTGAAACATGTCTCCCCTTTCCCTTTAGTTTACAAGAAAACTTTAACAAGTAAGTGCACTGCTTCCAGGTTCATGATAGAATCACCTTTTCTTTTACAAATATCTTCTTCACCTGTGGCTTGGTATGTTTGGTTAGTAATTGGCAAATATACTGTCATATCATAAAAAAAGACTACCAGAAACATTTTTGTCCCTATTAAATACTTTCATTTAGTCAAGTTAAAGTGTACCTATGAACATTTAGAAGGGCTTCATCTCTGACAATACTATTAATTTCTCTCACCACAGCAATGCTATTTAGAAGCCCTAACAGGGTTAACTTAGGTATAAATATCATAATAGTTTTGGTTCTGCTGTGATAAAGAATAAAAGGCTTAATTTTGAGAATGATTAAATTTCTTGAAATTGTTTTAAAGCTGCTGAAATTTGGTTGAGGTAATTAATGGTTTTTGATAGGTCAGCCAGGTATCATCTTTACAAATAATTCTAGAACAGAATTTAAGTTTACTTAAATATTATTGTTTGTCCTTCCACATGGTTATCATAATCAAATGTAGGACTAGAGAATGATTATTTTTTAGTACTACTGTTTGTGATCACCACAACTTTGAGTTCAAGCTAGAGATCATAAATCAGTTAAACTATTTTTTATCCCTAAATGTAGCATTATAAACTATAGTTCAGTCCTATAACTAAATTCTGTTTGCAGTGCTTCACTGAAAGTCAAAGTAAAATTATAATTTTTTTCCTTCAGTAATCCATTTTATAGTTAATCACTCCAAGTTTGAATTGATGACCCAAAGTCCAGGCGGAATTGAAGATAGTGTATGTCTAGAATACTAGTAATGAGAAACTGGTTGAAATGGAAGAAAAACAAGATAACTGCCAAATATAAGCTAAAATGTAATGAACTCCAAGGGAATGGTTACTCAGGAACTAGTTAAAGGGCAAGCATAAGGTCCATTTCCCCTTCTTTCACTGTTTCAGGTATTTTACTGGAAAATGTTAGGATAATGACCTGAGAGACTTAGCAAATTTCTGTATATTTTCTGTTAATTTTTAGTTTGTTTTTACAATCAAGCCTACTGCTTGGAATCTGAAATGTATCTGTGATTCCGAGCCACAGGTCCTATTGCCATTATTTTTGAGTATCTTCATTGGAAATGAGTAGACTTTTGTATATGGCCTCTTGTCTCAGGGAAGATCACTTGGTAGCAACTCATACTACTCATGACAGGTTTTTGAGAATTGTACTGACGTCACATTAGCTACTAAATGCAAAGTTTATAAAAGTATTTTATCTAGTTACCTAGTAATTCTGGCTGCTAGTGGACATTTCTCTAAAAATTTAGACCTCACTAAGAACTAATCTTTAGATATAAAATAAACTTGCAACTTCTGATTTGTCAATATAATGACTATCATAATATGTTTATTTCAGAATATCAATAGTTTCCATTTTTCAACATGAATATTAATTGGCCCATACTTAAAATATGGCAGAGCAGACTTTGAGTTTGATGGTTCTCAAAACAAGGTTTCCATATTAAGTTCTTCATAAAAGCCTTTGCAAAAACAGGTTAAACTCCATCTTAATGACCTTTTGTAATAGTAGTAGTGAAGTAAATGTTCTGATTAAACTGGGTAGACATGTCCTACATTTGAAGGTTTCATATAATTTAACAAAATTGTACAATGTCAAGGCCCTTCACAATTTACATAAAAAGTTAATTTTTCAGTCCTACCCGTTGTGGCTCAGTTGGTTGGATTATCATCTCATAACCGATAGGTTTCAGATTTGATTCCCTGATCCAGGCGTGTATGGGAAGCAACCCATCGATGTTTCTCTCTCGCATTGATGTTTCTTTCCCTTCCTCTCTCCTCTCTCTAAAAGCAATGAAAAAATGTTCTTTGTTGAGGATTTTAAAAAAGTTAATTTTTCAAACCAGAACTCTTCACTTGAAAACATACCATAGTAGAATGTTTACTTAAGAAATAACAAAGGGGAGCTATAGCACCAGTATAAGGTTTATAGTTAATTGTAAGTTCTGTCATTCTTAATAATTCTTTAAGATATTAAGTATTTCATACTTAATAATACTTAAATCATGGGAATTTTAACATTTGTTCCAAAATAGCAGAAATTGTAAAAATTGTGAATTATTGGAGAAAATGCCATTACTTGTATATCTGACATTTAATTTTTTAAATTATGGAGTATACATGCTTTTGTAGTATAATAATACAATGATATTCTCTTGTAAAAGAAAGGAAAACGAGTAAAAAAGTTTTAGTTGATGTTATCTGCTTGTGAGTATCAATTACTTAGTATTTAAAATTTTAAGGTATTGCATACTTTTCTTTAGAATGTGCAAGTCCCTTCCTGAGCCTTTATGCCTGTGGTGGAGCAATAAAAGACTAAAGAGGTTATCAATATTTTCAGGTTTACTCGACTTTAAGAATTAGTGCCAAGAGCTGAAGAGTCTACTTTTTGGAGGGAAATGCTATTGAGAATATGTAAAAATAAGTAGTAATAGTGTAAATATTTGGAAGACATAGCAAGTGCTTTAACTGCTCAATAAAACAGTATAGATGTTACATCATCCTTAAGGCACTGGCTGTTACCCATTATTTTCTGATTTTGTGATTACTGTATATATTTCTCTGGAGTAATAAATAATTGGTGATAGTTTATTATAACTGTATAGTGTTCTACAGCACACCTCACTGTACAGTATTTGTAGTTTTCTTTTGTATCAATAATAAAACAAAATAATACATACTGATTTTCCCCTCAACTTTTCCACACTAGCTTTTTAAAATAATTTTTTATTTAGTTTCCTGGAATTACACCTTAATATTATAATGTGTGAAAATATAGTGCTGTTATATGAAGGAATTCTTAGTGTAATAAAAGTTTTTTTAAAAATATCCTTAAGTGAGTTGTCATATAGGGATGGTAATTTCTCCCCTTAAGGCAGATTTCAATGCAAATGAAGCAGATCCAATGAGAAAAGTAGCAACATTTCTTTTGACATAACACGTAATTGGGTCATGTAATGCTTACTGAGTATTTAAAGACAACACAAAGATGTTCTAATAAGGAAAACTTGATTTGTGCTCTTTAAAAAAAAACAAAAACCACTGGTTAACCCTGGCTGGTGCGGCTCAGTGGATCGAGTGCCAGCCTGTGAACCAAAGAGTTGCTGGTTCAATTCCCAGTCAGGGCACATGCCTGGGTTGAGGGCCAGGTCCCTAGTCAGGGTGCGGTGAGAGAGGCAACCACGCATTGATGTTTCTCTCCCTCTCTCCCTTCTCCTCTCTAAAAATAAATGAAATCTTTAAAGAATAGGGACTGGTCAGAGATAATGAAGAAATAAAGGGAAGTATAGGAAATCGTGCTAAATTAACATTTGTATGGTTTAACATCATGATACATTTACTTTTAGTATATATGCTTAATATCCATTTTATTAGAGTAGACAGGGCACAGCTTCAAACACTGGACTTGCTAGATCTGAGTCTTATATCGCTTGTTGTGTGACCTCTGTACTTCGGTTTCTTTTCTGGGAGCATGATAATGACATCTACTGGCATGGTTGTGAGGATTAAGTGACAATACAGATGATTAGAACAGTGCCTGACATACAGTGAACATTGACATGTTTGCAATTATTAATATTTATATATCAAATTCTGTAGTTAACATTTAAGTGGGATAAATCATTTGGGGCACACATTTAAAGTATTTCATTACATTAATACTATTTGTGGTATATGGTTAATGAACTGAAAACTGGTCGTATGTTCAGATTTTTAAGCAGCAGCTATACAACCACATGCAACACAATCTAGAGGGCTGACAGCCTGTGCTCTAACTTATTTTGTGACCTAGGGAGCCTTTCAAAGCCTCCATTGCTTCTATAATCTTGTGGTTCAACAGTTTTTTTACCTTCTTCTGCTTGGTCATGTCATTGTGGTTTCACTTGCTGACAGCGTAATGCTGATTAGACAAGTGACCTGAGTGTGAGCCTTAAGTAAACTAAATATATGGTAAGTAGCTCCGCTTTATGCTTTGGCTACATTTGTTCCAGACTTGAACTTGAGGTCTTGTACATGCATGCCACTGGTTACACACCATATAATTTAGAGCTCTCAAAAACAGTGAAAAAGATAAACATCCTACTGAAGACAGTTCATGGGTTTTATTTTAATTGATTGGCTTTTTCAGACTCCAGTAACTGCAATTCTTAATAGTTGTTGGGCAAATTGAAGCAGGTCTTTAATTGTATATGTAATACTGAGGTGTACAACTTACAGGCTTTTCAAACTTGTGCTTTTTTCCTGGTTGTGACTAAACCTGCCTTTCATCCATTTATCATGCTACATAATTCTTTATCTAAAAACAGATAAATGGTATGAGAATCTGGGGTGATTATTCCTGTTTGTCAGGTCTATTTATAGACTGTGTAGTATGAGTTCTACCTGTGAAATAGTGACAGTTTTATATCTGGTTTGTGGAAGCAACAGGTTGACTCATTGATTCATTTTAAAACGTTTATTAAGCACTGATTGATGCCAAGCTCCTGCTCTTGGAACTGGAGAAGCAATTTTAAATGAGACAAATTCTGTGTGGCCTTTAGAGCTTATATCCCAGTGATGGAGATGAGCAGTAAACGCATTTCATAATAATGATCATTTAGTGACCCTTTCCCTATATCTTGGCAAAAGGTAAAACACAACATGTAGTAATTAGTTTAACTCTCAACTCTATGCTTGGGTACTGTCATTGTTGCAGTTCTTCAAGGAAACAGGCTCAGGTAGGTCAAGTAGTTTACCAAAGATCCTGGAGTTAGTAGGTGGCGGAGCTGGGATTTAAACTTAAAGAATTTTATGACTTCATAACCTGTGATCTTAACCTCAGCACTACATTCATAATTTAGTGAAGGAGTGAAATTTGGTGGTAAGTCTTTACAAACATCTATTGTTAAATCTATCTTGTTTTCAGGCACACCAACCTAGTTTGAACTGACTTAAATGTATAATACCTATCTAATTTCACTTCCTACAAGTTCACTTCTTGAACCCCAATCTTTTGTTCCAAGTTCTTCCCTCCTTGGGTTTGTGTTCTTCCTCTAAATTTGGAAATGCTTAAGGGATGGCTTTCACAATTTCATAGATGTTTAAACTGGGTAAATTTGAGAATTGTGTACATAAAATCCAACTGGTTCATTTAAGAAACCTAGAATAATTACTGTCATTTACTAAGAGGGTCTGTTGCTTTAGTGTGAAGGTTCTCCAAATGTGATGCTGCTTCATGTATAGTTCATAGGCTATGTGCATGTCACCGAGAAAACATTTTTACAGCATCTATCGTGTCAGGTACTTTGCTAAGACCTAAAGAATTAATAGGATATTTAAAAATTAAAGTGGCAAGATTCAACACCTCCAAAAATATTTTATTTATGAGGCCAGTCCATCAAGCAAAATTCAGTGGGATGAATATTTGTGTTTGTCACACTACAGACCCCAGATCCTTCCTGTAAGAGGGTGGTGATCCTGTTAAGTGGGTAGGGATGAAAAAGTTTGACAAAGCTTGTGTGAATAGGGTTGCTAAGGAAAGAAAGTAACTGTAACAATGACATTAAATTCAGTGTATAAAACCAACTTCAGAAACATGAGTTTATTTTTTGAAAGTAAAAGGTATCTCTGCTACTGTAAATTAGGTGCATAGATACATAACAAAAACATAAGCAAAATAGTAAAGCAAGAATCAAAGTAGCAGCTAGAATCTCAATTATTCTGATTTCTTTCAACATTGCCAGGTTATTGAAAGATTAGTTACATATTTTCTAGCTTCTCATGGCCCTGTCCCAGTATCTGTCCCCTTTTTCCCCTTAAGCATTAATACTAAGTGGCTAGTAACCAATGTATACGTTATATTGTGCTTACAATATTGCGTTTCAAGTTAATATTATCATTTAGTAACCTCATGACAAATGATTTGCCTTTAACTGTAGTACATACAGTAAACTACAGATGTTATTAAATTTAGTTTTGATACAGCGAAGTGATTAGAAAAAAGCAGTATTTGAGAAAGTAATCTGCAAAAGTTTTCTTTAAAATAGCTCTTGTTTTCCTTTTTAAAAGTTATTCTCAAAGCAATGCATGTACATGGTTTTAAAAAATTCAGCTATAGAAAGACAACCAGCTCTTCATGTCAATTGCTAAATCAACTCTGTGCCACTGAGTGACAGCTGCCACTGGCAGAGTCCCAGGGCAAGACTCAAGGGTTTTCTTTCAGCAGCAGCTACCAAATCCTGGCCCCGTGGCCTGGGGGAGGACCTGTGAAAGCGCTAATAAGTCAACCACTTCTTTTTTGGCAGTTACCTCCAGAAGTTAGATGAGATGCTTATAGGTCTAATCCCTTGACTTACCAACTGTAGGCAATACTTGATTTATCTATTATAAAATATGAGTTCCCTTGCCCTATATGTTTTCTTTATAACTTTATATAGTATACTTAAGTCTATTGAGCCATTGATTTTACATATTACCTCTTAAATATCCAGTATGTAAAACGAGGAAATACGCATTTCTGCATTTTCTGATATCCTTAATCTTATCACTCTACTTCCTTTTATTAGCTATACCATTACTTTTACATCATCAAGGTTTATGGCATTCAAACTATGTCCTGCAGTAGTAATTGCTTTAAAAGGAATCTACAGTTCACCTAAACTGATAAACAGCTGAGGTGACCCCAAATTCAAATAAGAAGGGCTTTTTTTTTTTTTTTCCTGAGACAACTAGAGTTTGGAGCTTTCCCAAGGCAGATATTGTAATTTAAATACATTTATATTAAAGATCACTCAGGCAGCCAAGTGGAGGATACTTGGATTGGACAAGAGGACAAGAGACTTGCTGTAACTAGGTGACAGATAAGAGCCTGAAGTGACCCATTAGCAGTGGGGATGGGGAGAAGATAATAGAGTAAAAAGGTCAACTTAGACTCAGGTTTTGACTTCAGAGGGTGGGTGGTGGTGCTGCTAATTTGGGATAGGATCCAGCAGTAACTACAGATTGGTGGATAGGAAATGAGTTTGATTTGGGGATGTGTTGAATTTGGGGTGTTTAGTGCTTCCAGAGGGAGAAAGATGAAGTTTAGGAGAGGAACTGGGATTGGAAGTAAAGATTTGCGAATTATAGGATATGACTGAAATTGTAGGAGTGGGTGAGATTGCCTAGGAAGAGAGCGTAGAGTAAGAAGAGAGCTAAAAATGCAGTGCTGGGGAATGCCAACAATTAAGGAACAGGCTTGCAAAGGAATTCGACGGATGGAAATCAGGAAATAACACAGAAAACAAAGGACGAAAGTTTCAAGTAACAGGAAGTAATGGAGTCAAATGCTATAGAAAGCTCCGGTAAAATGAAGGTTGATTTCTTTCTTCAATGTCCATTGGATTTCACCTCCTATGGTGAGTTTTGCAGCCACAATTTCGATGGAATGGTAATGGTAGTGGTTAGACTACCAGAGGACAGAAGACTGGGTAGTGAAGTCAAGACAGCTTTGAAGAAATTTGACTGAAAGAGAAAAGGAAAGATAGCAGGTACAGGGTTATGAAAGGGATGGATGGATGAATGGATAAATATATTTAGATCAATATTTTTAACTCTATTGGGGTCAATATCCCCTTTTAAATAATAGTATATTCTGCTACCTACACCCTATTAAAATGAAATTCACAGATAACATACACACGGTGAAAAACTCAATTTAATGCTCTACCTATACTATAGAGAAACAGAAGGGATCTGTAATAAAATCAGTCAGGTACAAGTAATCCAACTGACATATATGTAGAATCGCTATGGACTCAATAGCTACAAATACAGACAAATATCAGTGGGCTGTATTCACGTCTTAAAAAGTTGAGTTTGATACCTATAGAGATACAATTCTTGATTAAGTCTAAACAAAATAAAAATATAGTCTTCCCCTGGCTAACAGAGTAGCTGCATATTTGGAAATTATGTTTGAAAATGGTACAAAACTCCACAACTCTAGTGCACTGATGAAAAGGATTTGGTCCTAAGCTTAAATACATAATCAGGTTTTTCACCTACATTACTGTCTGGATAAACACTTAAAGGAACTCCAGAGAATTCTGCCTTGTGCAGGACCATTTCAAACATTGCTTGAGTCTTATGTTCCTAGAACCAGCACACTGAATGCCAGTACATGACTTTCAATAACTACGAAGCCCCCTAAATTTTACCCAATTCATTATTCCCTTTGGGGAATGCCTGGACATTTTGGGTCAGGAGAGGAGGAGAGGATAAAAAAAAAAAAGCAAGGTAAATAAATTATTGTCCCTGTTGAAGGTGATAAAACTGAGAGAAAAGGTCGAAAGCTTAGAATTTAAGAGAAGACACACTTACATTCATACCTTGGTGGATGTCGCAATACCCACAAATGAATGATAATCTTACTTTAAGGATTTTTGTGGTAGGCTCATAAATCATTTTTCTTTTTCAATACCTTGAGTACCTTCTCCCCTAACTTGGAGTTCCTATCTTTCATTTTGAACCCTCATGATAGTAGGCTCCTTTGCTGTAAAAAAATAAATTAAAATAAAGGCTACATTTTAAACACTATGATAGATCACTTCTTGAAGAAAAAGCACTTTTATTATAGGCCAAAAATGTGGAACATTTCAGAAGTGTTATTAATTTCCTATTACTGCTGTAACAAGTTAGTACAAATTTAGTGACTAAAACTATGCAAACTTTTATACTAAGCTCTGGAGGTCAAAAGGGCAAACGGATCTCCTTGGGCTAAAATTTTTTGTTTCCTTGACTTGTCTAGCTCCTAGAGACTGCCTGAATTCCTTGGCTCACGACCCTTTCCTCCATTTTCCAAGGTAACAGCATAATATTTTCAAATCTCTCTCAGATTCTTCTACTTCCCTCTTCCCTAATGATTACATTGGGTCCGCCTGGATAATTCAAACAAAATCCTTGATCCGGGTCAAAATCCTTAATGTAATCACATCTGAAAAATTACACTTGTCATTAAAGTAATATATTCACAGGTTCTCAGGATTAGGACATGGTCATCTTTAGGGGCCACTATTCTATCTGCCACCAAAGAGTAGAACAAGGAATATTTGGTTGATATAGGAACACTTTGAAACATTTCTTTTCCTGTTACAGTTTTCTTGCAGTTCAAGCAATTCTTTTTTACCTTTAAAAGCCAAACTAAGAATTCTACAGTTGCTTATCTTTAGATAACCTGATTCCCATTTATATAATTTTCATCAATTTAAAATTAGCAACCAAAGGTAGAGATTAGCACAATATATTGGTGGTGGAGAGTGGTTAAAGCAGACACACATGTATCCAAGATAGAATTTTATACCTGATTTTTTCAGATTGAATACATAGAACATAATTTCATCATTTCTGCCAAAGGATTATTGATGTTGAGCAAATTATGTATATAAACCGTATTTTTCTGGGGTCCACCCCATAAGATGCACCTAGGTTTTAGAGGAGGAAAATAGAAAAAAAATATGAAGCGAGAGTGTGGTAAAAAAAGTGTGTCTTATAGTCCGAAATATACAGTATATAATGGGCTATTTCTTTCTAGGATTTTTCAGAAAAGTTTGGAGGTTAGCATCAACTCATTTTTTTAATTGAAAAATAAACATGAGCTTATGCTTTTATAAAAAGTCTAATATGACAAACGTACACAGGGCAAAAGTTAAAGCCTGCCCTACTCCCATCTCATGCTTTTACAATAATAAAAGTTGTCAATATTACTTTTAAAAATATATTTTATTGATTATGCTATTACAGTTGTCCCATCTCACCCCTTCACTCCCCTCCACCCTGTACAGCCTCTCCTATCCATATTCTCCCCCTTTAGTTCATGTCCATGGGTCATACATATAAGTTCTTTGGCTTCTACATTTCCTATACTATTCTTACCCTCCCCCTTTCTATTTTCTACCTACCATCTATGCTACTTTTTCTCTGTACCTTTTCCCCCTCTCTCCCTCTCCCACTCCCCTGTTGATAACCCTTCATGTGATCTCCATTTCTGTGGTTCTGTTGCTGTTCTAGTTGTTTGCTTAGTTTTTCTTTTTGTTTTAGGTGTGGTTGTTAATAATTGTGAGTTGGCTGTCATTTTACTATACATATTTTCTATATTCTTTTTCTTAGATAAGTCCCTTTAACATTTCATATAATAAGGGCTTGGTGATGATGAACTCCTTGAACTTGACTTTATCTGAGAAGCACTTTATCTGCCCTTCCATTCTAAATGAAAGCTTTGCTGGATAGAGCAATCTTGGATGCAGGTCCTTGTCTTTCATGACTTGGAATACTTCTTTCCAGCCCCTTCTTGCCTCTAAGGTCTCTTTTGAGAAATCCACTGACAGTCTGATGGGAACTCCTTTGTAGGCGACTATGTCCTTATCTCTTGCTGCTTCTAGGATTCTCTCCTTCATTTTAATCTTGGCTAATATAATGATGATGTGCCTTGGTGTGTTTCTTCTTGGGTCCAACTTCTTTGGGACTCTCTGAGCTTCCTGGACTTCCTGGAAGTTTATTTCCTTTGCCAGATTGGGGAAGTTCTCCTTTATTATTTGTTCAAATAAGTTTTCCACTTGTCGCTCTTCCTCTTCCCCTTCTGGTACCCCTATAATTCGGATGTTGGAAGGTTTAAAGATGTCCTAGAGGTTCTTAAGCCTCTCCTCATTTTTTTGAATTCTTGTTTCTTCATTCTTTTCTAGTTGGATGTTTCTTCCTTCTGGTCCACACCATTGATTTGAGTCCATTTCCTTCCCATCACTATTGGTTCCCTGTACATTTTTCTTTATTTCACTTAGTGTAGCCTTCATTTTTTCCATCTAATTTGCAACCAAATTCAACCAATTCTGTGAGTATCCTGATTGCTAGTGTTCTGAATTGTGCATTTGATAGATTGGCTATCTCTTCATCACTTAGTTGTATTTTTTCTGGAGCTTTGATGTGTTCTTTTGTTTAGGCCATTTTTTTCTTTTGTCTTGATGCACCTGTTGTGTATGAGGGGTGGAGCCTTAGGTGGTCACTAGGGTGGGGTAACCAATGTCACTGTGTTGTGACACTATATGTGGGGAAGGGGTTGGAGAGGGAACAATGGCGCTTGCTCCACTCTCTGTCTGATTTCAGTTACTTCCCCTGCTTCCCACTAGCAGATTGGGCCCTTCTGGCACTGACTTCCTATGGGTGGGTTTGTGTACATTCTACGACCCTGTGGGTTTCTCCAACCAACTCTCCTGTAAGACTGGCAATTTCTCCCGCTGCCTCCACCC